ATAAATCACTCGCTGTAGGCATCGTTCTCCGATTAGGGCTTAACCAGTCTCAAAAGAAGTTCTCCCTTGGCGCTTTGGGCGGCGAAATGCGAAAAAGAATGTTTTGGTGTGTCTACTGTCTAGACAGGTAACGTAGCCTAACCCTGCATTATTTTTTCTCGTGACTTAAATCATTGAATCTCATTTCCCTTTTCAGTTTTTCCGCGGCTATGCTCGGCCTACCTAAGCTTTTGAACGAAGGCGATGTAGATACCGAGTATCCATCAGATATCGATGACGAGTATGTCTCTGAGAAAGGGTTTCTGCCTACTCTGCCGGGGGATTCGACGAAAATATCTAGTGCGCTTGCGTTGTTCAGGAGTAGTCGTATACTAGCGAGGGTACTGGATGCCGTTTATCCGACTGGCGGGTTGAAGGAGTTGACTTATACCAAACTCAAAGAGTTGGAAGATGAACTTGATGCATGGAAATCGGGACTGGCTCCGCATTTGAGGTTGGAATTTGTGAATGGAACACCGGCGACAAATGTCGTGCATAGTCGCAGTCCATTATTGGTATGTCGTCAATTAACTTTTTGAAGAATGATTATCAGATGAATTGCCCGATCCGGCCTGGATTATTAGGCAACTTATAAGTATAAGAAATGATTGACTGACTGGAATTTTTTTATTTTTATTTTCATTTTTATTTTTTAGGTTTTGTCATATCATTACATCCGCGTGTTGATTCACAAACCTGTTGTCGGCTCTACTCTCCAGCAGAAATCAAATGCGTCTTTGCATGCCATCCGAGAGTCGAGTAAATGCATCGTCCAGATTGTGCAACTTCTCACCGAGCGGAAACTTGGGTTTTCTTTCTGCGTCAACAAGGCTAAAATACTTGTGCTGGCTGGATTTATCCTTCTTTACAGTTCTGCAGAATGTCCGCAAGACAGTCCACTCGCAAAGGAGAATCAAAAATTGATTATCGGCATGCTAAAAGAGTTGGAAAACTGCTCCCCAACCTTATACACAGAGCTCAAGCCGATTGCCGCATCAATTGTGAAACTTGAAACTCATACCCCACGAAGACCATCGGTTTCACCTTTATCGTTCCGCCACGATAAACCCAGAGAATCCTCTGTCTCACCACAATCCAGCCCGACAGAGCATCTCTCAGTACGCCGAAGATTCTCATCCATCCTTCCTGGAATGGATGGCCGAAAACATAAGACTCCAGGCGCGATGCGCCGAGCGAGCACAAGTGCACAGGACGTGTCCAGCAACATGCCATATGGGCACCGGTTAACGTCGGCATCCCTTACCGATCTGTTACCCCGAAACCGGTACTCGGCTGCACCGTCGGCAAGCCCGTTTGACATGTCATATAATATGGAAAACATGTGGAGCAACGTAGATGCGGCAAATGGCAGCACCAGCTCGCTACCGCAGACCTCATCATCGGGCCGGGTCTCAATGTCAACCAATGATTGGGAGCGGCTACTGGCGACAATGGATGCTACCCATGCGGCTCACATATATGGTGATGGCGGCGGCGATATGATCCCGGCTGGCAATATGGACCACACAGGTACCCGTCCGGTTGATCAGCATTGGAGTCTGAACGGCTCAGCAACAAGAGAGTACTCACATAACAGCAATGTCGCTCCAGCCCCGCCCAGCACATCGAGCTTCTCGACGCTGAGTGAGGAGGGGTTTCAGAGTGATGATGGCTGTGGGTATCCGGAAAGCGAGGACCTTGGTGACTTTCTGGGGCCGTTGATGTCGACGGGTGGAGGAGGGGAATGGCCCATGTGATGTGATGTATGGTGTTTTTTTCTTCGTTTCCTTATTTCTTTTTTTGTCTTGGTCTTGGTTTCTTTTATTTTTTATTGTTTTGCTTATTGTTTTGCTTTTTTGGAAAGAGGATTTAAAAAAAACGGTATGTATGTTGAGGCTGGTTGGTTGCGGTTTTATTTCATGTAAAACCTGGCATATCGTGATCATATTTTTTGTCGGTAGTTTTTTAAACCCCTTTATTTTAAACGCCTTGCTTTATTATGCGTGCATGGGCCTGGCTAGCTGTTTTGTCTCGTGCGTTTCTTTTATATTTTGGCTTCCAGCTTCTGTTCTAAGTAATATAATTACTTTTTTTCTCTTCCTCATCCATATATCAATTTTATTTTACTCTTGCCTCGTATACCTACCTATCTCTGTGGTTATCTTGCTGCGTACGTTTGCTCTGTTATTGGGTTTGCTGTTCAAGTTGTTTCAGTTTGTCTTTCAAGCCTGAGGGCCGCCTGGATGGATGAGCGCTTCCTATCAAGCTATATCCATCATCCTATACCTCCCTTCCCTCCTCGTTAGTTTGACTCTATCCTACTCGCCGTTCAGCTCATTCCCCCCTCCGTCTTTCCGTCTCCTGCTTGCTTGCAGGCTCAATGTCAAGAGATGAGGTCAGCCAGCCCGCCAGTAGGCATATATCGGATGGTGGAGGGTGCTTCTAGGGGTACAGGTTTAGCTTTTGTTGTCGTACCATATACATATATCGAATGAACCTCTAGCGCCTATGTAGCAAATAGAGGCGGTGGGTGGGAGGGCGCATGTATCTCATGATGATATCGATTTGTTTCTGTTTCTGTTTCTGTTTCTGTTTTGTTTCTGTCTCTGTGTCTATCGTCTTGTGTTGGTTCTGTTGGAATTGTATGAGTATGTAGTCAGAGTTGGTTATCATGAAGTTATATTACTTGACCCTGTGCAGCTGTGGGAAAGTCAATTGGGAGTTAATTGATTGATAGTGAGGTCTGAGTGAGGTACGACACTCCTATATTGCCGGTGCGATGTGAGGGAGGTCTAAGAGAGATAGAGAAAGACAGAGCAATAGAGACAGAAGGAGGGGTGTCAGTCCGTTTATTCACGGCACAGTACTCATAAAATCTCACTCACCTAGTTCTGGCTGAGTCCCCATGATGACGACGGTGCACCGCAACCACAACCACAAACCACGACAACCACGACAACCACGGCCACCCGATCATTCATCACAACCACACTCCTCGACTTTCTTTTCTCGTGGTCTCCGGTTTTAAGTTTCTTTTTTCTCTCTCGTTTTTTTCTTCTTTCCGTTCGTTCGTTCAACGTTTTGTTTTGGACCAGCCCTAACTATCACTGACACCTCCCTCCCCTTCCCCCCAAAAAGAATTCTCCGATGGGAGGTTACACATCATTCCCCCAAAACTAAATCAAACCAATTGGCCCAATGTAATCCAATCCAATCACTAGTTCCCATTGGAAAAAAAAAAAAAAAAAAAAGTGAAAAATGAAAAGCTGTACCATCACGTATGTATTTCATTCAAGGTTTAGTTTATTTTTTTCGGGGCGTTCGAATCGGTTTCATAGGCCATTCCACACGTCAACGTCAACATGTCAAAAGACGCACGCAAGCAAGAACGCTCACACGCTCACACGCTCACACATACATATACGTGATCACAAGGGGTGTTTTTCGCTTTTTTTCTTTTTTTCTTTTTTTCGTTTTTGTTTTTTGAGCTCCTCTTAGCTTGGTAGGTAGCGAGCTATCTAACTAAGGGGAGGAATTAATTGATAACCCGGGTAGTGCTGAAGATAATGTGAGGAAAGTGAGGAAAGTGAGTATCTCGATAGAAGAGAGTATTTCGACTCAAGTGACCACACCTCACCTACATAACCTCCATACCACAAAACCAAAAAAAGGAAAAAGCTAAGTGACCCTCTGCGGGTCAGCAACCTAGGTAATAAGTACATGTACCTACATCTTACTACTCTATTCCAGAGTAGAGTACATAATGTACATGTATGTACACAACCTACTCTACTACCTCTACACCTACCATCAAGCAGGTAGCCTCTCAGCACACACACATCCAGTACCCGGCACTTTCCCCTCCCCCCTCCATAGCATCATAAAAAAAATAAAAAAGAGCAATGCACCCTGCACTTTTCACACTGCGTCCCCACGTTTCCAGAGCCACCGGCGGCGGGTAGTGGGGAGGGTGGTCCCGAAGATTTGCTATCGAGGAGGGAATCTTGGGTGTAGCGTGAGATAGATGTGATGTGGTGCGGGAGTTCCCTTCCCTTGGTGTGTGTACGTATATGTACTCTACTTCTATGTACAGCGATGGGGAAAATTATTGTAGAAACAGGGGTCTAAAAACAGGGTTTAGGTGGCTGCCCTGGCCAATAGGACTCTTACCATACTTCTACAATAATTTTCCCCATCGCTGTATATCCATACCTTATCTATATGCTACTCCGGGTACTATACTGGTGAAGACAAAAACGTGGGTGGTGTGCATGGCATGACATGGGGATCGCGATGAAGGTGGACGAATGGGTTGTGGGAGGGAAGGAGGTGAGGTGAGGACTGCAATTGGGGGGATGTTTAATTGTGGGCGGGCTGGTTGTACTGGATGTATGTATGTAGAGTACTGCGGTGTAGTTAGGTATTGGATGTACTGTGCTGTACTCTACTCTACTGTACTGCCTTCGTTGGGACGGACCTGTGATTGCGGGAAAGCATTACTATTATTGCATGTACTGTTGTGTGGGATGTTGCTTGATATGCAGGTCGCTGTATGCAAAGTACCTACTCAGCAGCACAGTAGAGTACAGACGACAACCCCCAACCACAACCTCAACCACAACAACCACAACAACCGCCGCCCGCACACAGCGACTGCCGCTACTTAGCAATGGAAGTGACCGCTGCTACCACAATTCCGGAAATAACCCAGCAGGCCAGAACGAGAGATGGAGACAGAGACATACAACGGGTTCCCAGGCTAGTATCAAGACATCAATAGGTAATAGTTCTCAGGTCAGGTCAAGTCAGGTCGGGTCAGAGCAGGTCACCACAAGAAACGAGATATAAAAACAAGAATAAAAAGGAATAAATTTAACGCAGGCGGGTATATCAACCCCCAAATAACAAATTTTATCAAGTGCCGGGACGCACTTCTCTCCCTCACCGCACACCAATTACTCTCACGCCCGTGACCTCCCCAGCAGCCTCCCGCACAACTGCTCATCCAGCACGCCGTCACCGTTCCCTAACCTATCCACCGCCTTGATCAAGTCATAGTTGATGCTTTGGCTCACGACGCTATCACCCCTATAGTCGGGATGGGCGCGAACAAACTCCCTGATCCACGCGGCACCCGTCTGCAGCTCCCCGCTTGCGCGCTTCGAGACCAAGCTCAAATATCCAGCCAGCTCGCAGCGGGTCACAACGTCGACGTTGACCGTGTCGAGGTAGTTCTCGATCAAGGGGATCAGCCCCACAAACTCATTGGTCTTGCTGCCGTTCATGATCTCGTCGATTGTCATGAGGCAGTACTCCCTCTCGACAGGACCGGGGGAGGCGGGGCGTGAAGGTGCTGGGGTGCCCCCGTTGGTGGGCTTGCGCGGTGGGAAAAGGTTCTTGCGGAACCAGAACTTTTCGGTCAGGACTGCACCGCGGCGGTGTGCCGTTGCCATGTTCTCATCGACCTGGTGGTGGACCCAGGGTCAGCTGGGGACACAAGATGAGAAAATACTAAATCTGACCAACATAGTAACCAAGCACATGTGTGCTGGCCCTAGCTACGTGTGGCAGAAAAGAAAGCTACTACTAAGACTAACCTTGGATATCGGAATATAGAAGTTCAATCCGTAAGACAAGATCGCCCTCGTGAGGAGTACGATGAATATAGCGAATGCAGCATTCTCATTGTCAGTCAATTGGATCTCCATACTACGGAACTCTACCCTCCAGCCAATATTTCCACCCGGTGGAGGAGGCTTAAACCGCATATGTTGCCAATTCGTCGATTGGAGGTTCTTAAACCCTCCCACGTAAGGAGGCATGGTCAGCAATTGCTTCTCACGGTTTGACACTATCATGCTCTCCCGGGTTGTTCTCACCTCAAAATGGTCCGCCTTACCCTCTGGAGACTCATCTAAGGTCTCCTGGAAGATAACCAACGGGTCCCGGATGAACAAGTGGGAAAAATGAGCTGCCAGGTTCTCGTCCATACCTGTAGTTTGAAGAAAAAAAGTAAAAAGTCAGTCACGCGTCATCCCGATAATATGATAATTATGATAATTATATAATTATGATAAAATCGATAAAAATTAAAGATGGAAGGGTGGGGGGGGCCAATCAGACCATCATCCATAAGTGTCTTTTTAATGTCCTTGTCGATTACAAGATCCGTATCATTGTACTCTGGCCTAAAACGGGGATCCTGCGAGATGTACGCCGATACCGAATCGTATCTTGATTTTGGTATCACGAAACGGTTATTCTTGAGCGGCTGCAATTTCCGTATCAGCATCTTACATCCACCACGAGATACATTCTGCCAACAATTGAATCATTTCAAGGGGGGGGGGGGGGTATTGTGTGGTAATGATTAGAAGGAAGGGAAAAAGGGGGGAGGCGGTTGACCTTCAATCCCTTTTCTTCATCGGTACGATCGTCCGCAGCTTGGGAGATGACATTCCACCTCACATCCACATCTGCCAAAAAGCCCTTAAAAATCGGGGTAGCCGCCGTCAGGGCCAACATTATCGGACCCAATGGGCATAACTGATCATACAGCATTCTCGCCTCGACGATATTCTTCGCCTGCAGCGTGATCTGCAGGCAGCAGCAGCCCATCCCAAAACCCATAGCGTCCATATAGATGTGACCCTCCTGTGCCGCACCATTCCGCACGTCGTCGTCCTCGGGAAATAGGTGTCGATCGTAGTCTATTGTGGGGTCACGGAACGGTCGGGGCGTCTTTTCGTCGTAGAAGACGGGCATATTGATGGCCACCTTCTTGCCGCGCCGTGACCGCATGTTGGCCGACAGCGTGGGGAAGCGGATGTGCGGGTTGATCACAACGTCGGAGAGGAACTGACTCCGTGACCTTGACCCATCTGCGACTACCGGCGGATGAGTAAACACGTCCTTTGCGCCTAGCAGCGGGAAGTTTGGCAGCGTGATGACCGCCTCGTTTTTGGCCATGTGCTGCTTTGCAATGACTCTCCTGCAAAGGCAAAAAGTAAATATAAAAAAACCGGTTTTGGCCCCCCATGCTCAATAGCATAGCAGTAGAGTGTGAGTGTTCTCTAGCTAGTGGCCAAAAACGGAGCCAACTAACGAAAGGCAAAGACGACGCACCTGCGCTTCATGTCTTTCTCCACAGACAGCAAATCTTTCCAGGTCAGGTTGAATGGCGCACCAGGGGTCGATTCGATCTGGAAACGCCCGTATTCGGGGTGGAAAGTTGGCATGGGCCCACAGACGCTGCATAGAAAAAGCTTATTAGACATTTTCTCTCCCTAATTATAATGAGACTGTAACTGCAACTAGCAGGTACTGACTCTTCTGGTTTACTGATCTCTGGAACACCGCCCCCTGCCTTTCTCAATTTCTCGTCATTGGCAAGCTCCTCGAGAATTTCGGCTTGCCGAAGCGAAAGAAGAGCATGCTTTTTCTCCTCGTCATAGGAGACAACAAGATACTCAAGCTAAAGCAGTACAGTTCATTGTTGTTAGCAAACCGCAAGTACGTAGTAGTAGAGGTAGTAGTGGGACATATAAGAAGCTCTCATATAGCCCACTCCTCTTCCCGTAAGAATCGACGTACCTCATCTCCCCACAGCAACACATCCCTCTCGTTCCCTCTATAATTTTTCCAAATCTCCAGCAATTGCTACACCAGAACCAACAATGATCCGTCAGCAAACCCTCATCCACAAAAAAAAAAAAAAAAAAAAAAGATCCAACTAAAAATAAATAAAGAAACCACCCCCTGCATAAGTGCGTAGGGCCGGCTGTGACATCTCGCATACCTGTATCCCGAGCTTCCGGACCTCATCGGCGTGGTGCTTTGCATCCTCCCATTCCAGCGGGGTTCCAAGAGCTCTAATTGGGGAGGGAGGGGTGGCTTAATCAGCAGAGCTCCTTCTTTCCCCAGGGCGGCGGCGGGGTAAATAAGACACATACAGTAGACCCATTTACTTGTGAGGGGGGGGGGGGGGGGGGGTGGAGGAAGCGGGCACGGCGATGTGTGTGCGGCAGCGGCTAGCAGGCAGATTGATTTGCAAGTGATTGATTGGGGACTGGCAGCAGTAACAATTCGAATTTGCGTGCAGCCGTGGTGGGTTGGGTTTTGGGTGGTAGTGGGTGGTAATGATGCGACGTTGAGGGCTTGCAATTGCTTACACTATCTATTCGCGGCGGACGCGGGGTTAATTGATTTGCAAGCCGACCCCGGGATTAAGGAAAGGAATTTTTTCTTCCTTTCAGGACCCTTGATGCTGCGCTGCTTATCGGCGATAAGATTTGCGGCTGCACTAACACTAAAAGCTATTTATTTATCGGTTTCAAACGCCCGTGTTCCCTTTGGAACAGGTACAGATGCAATAATCGTATGTGGAGTAATGGAGTGTAGGTACTCTATGTATGTATATGTGCCTAGACCTAGAAAGTGGTGATGTACCTGGTCAATGAGGATTTAGACAAGCTCTCCCGATCCCGCCATCATAGATCAAATCAAAAACCCAATCAACTAATCCCTGGAGCAGGCTGCAGTTCCCGAGGATTACTAACTTGGCTATTGGAATTACGACCAGTGAGGTCCGTCCTGGGTGCCCGATCACAATACCCACAGCAAGCAGCAGCAGACAGACAGACAGACGGAGGTTTGAGACACGGACAAACGAAACGCAGGTCTCGGGGAGGGTGAAGAGCTAGCTGTGGGACCGGAGAGAGAGAGGGAGACTGTGTGTGGAGGTGGTGTACGGCGGAGAATGGAAATAGGTACATAGAGTACATCCACCCACCATGCAGGTTTGTAAATACATTCCCCTCCCAAAATAAAATAAAAAGTCCTATTTATGTGCTCTATGTATGTACATACAGCAGGAAAATGCGGGGCGGGGAAGATTACCAATTCGAATTCCATGTGAACCCTTCGACGCTCTTCTCTTTCGTGAAACTAATTTGTAAGATTTGTGCTGTCTTTTCTTACGGGAGCGGAGTGACTCAAGTGACTCAAAGAGTTACTATGTACATACATGTTAGCAAATCCCTACCTCTTTTTTGGTGCCCTGACCAGCTGCAAATGTAACCCCTTCCCCAGTTGAATGTGATTTATCGATATCGACGTTCATCTCGATATGCCTATCAGACAGAGGCAGATAAATCCACTCTATCTGGTGACTGCAGATGCTGTGCAGGTACCCGTATCCCCCTCCCTTCTTTCCCTTCCCTTTCGTAGCCTTGCGGTACATATCCCCATTGCCTGGGAACCCACCTACTGGCGGCAATGGATGGGGCCAAACAAAATTTACCGACATTTTGTAAACATCCATGTATAATAATGTATAATGTAGAGCAGATAGGTCATCATCATCATCATCGTTCATCATCTCGGCTTAGGTCGTTCAAAGCAAATCCCGATGCATCAGCAAGCAGCGTTGCTTTTTCAACAACAGCAACAAATGCTGCCTTCTCTCCAAAAAGAATGATGGCCACGAGGTGTCCAACAGCAATGTGTCCGTTGGACGGTGATGCACCCACATCCACTTAATTGCCACCTGTACAAAGTGTAAAGGCTTTCTCAGTGCTCACCCCTTTCCCCTTCCTCCCTCCACCACCACCACCACTACTGCCACCACCACAATGGCTGGCTTGCGTTATTATTCCCCTTCACTCATCAGGTCATAAATTCGGAAAATCGACACGATGCATATTCCGGTGCGCCCGCCCTAGGCCTTATCGCCGTGCTTATCCTCGCGAAACACCCTGCGTCCGAAATTGCCCGTTTCGTTTCTGCATTGCACCCGGAGAGAGAGAGGGTATGTGAAATAGTATCATAGAGCATATGTAGGTCTCTAGGTATAGTAATGTTAACGGCCCAATACAGGATAAGAGCCTCACGTATAGATCCGCCCTCCGTTAGCTGCACGATCTGACATCCCTCCTCTTGTCCTCCCTCCCCCTGTCTCCCCATCTGAAACGATTATCCTGGGGGGCTGGATCGGACTTTTTGCTGCTTGTTGTGCTATTTACCTCAGGTTTTGAGTGAATTCCGCCGCTGGGAAAACAAACATTTCCACCGCGCCTGGCTGACGTAGGTCCCTGAAGCTGTTTGTGGGGGGGGAGGGGGGTGGCAGAATCTTGTTCATGTCGGGTATATGGATCGGAATGTACCAATTTATCGTAGAGTAACGACACAGAAAAAAGAGGTGTGATTATAAAACAGTAACCACCACCATTTAGCACCAACTGCTGTTGTGCCTCCTGTCTTCCTCACATCCCACGTGGTTTTCGTTTCGAAAAGAACCAGAGAATTAGACAAAATAAAATGTTGTATCCGTAAATTGATTGCATTTCTAACGAGTTATATAGCATCGTAAGCCGGGGCTCTGATTCACCCTGTAAAGTTGCACAGATAATCCAGGTAGACCACCATAAGAAGAGCAATTTGCATGTGCCGTACACAAATACAACCCATCATTGGTCGTATTTAGAACCCACTCCCAGAAATCGCCTGTCAAAGTAATAATCGCCCCTGTCGGTAATCTGGCCGATCCGAGTTGAGTCTTCCATGCCGCGGGCGTATGTATGCAGAAGAGATATGTCGAGTGCATGGACTCTAGATAGGTGTTACCCCCAAGGTTGTCATACAAGATACAAGATAGATCTTAATTCAAACCAGCTGCAGCAGCGGTCTCGGTTCGCCCAGAAGATTACCGGTAAAAGAAAGAAAGAAAAAAACGATCGTTTCTAAATTTCTCCCCCACCCACCCCCGACTCCTCGCCGCGTAGAAGCCCGTCGGGGTAAATTGTCCCATCTTCGATGAAATTCCGATCTGGATGTCGGGGAAGGGTCCGATCTGATATGTTGATATTAAGTTTATTCGTCGTCTCGACGCCTCACATGGCATGCTGGCGCTAAATGTTTCATTTCACTAAAGTAGTAATTATTAGTTAGTGTTGCGAGGTAGGTAGAGTTTACTTGGTACATGTATATGTAGGTAATAGTCCCTGCATAACTAATTGAAGAACAGTAGCAGGCAGGCAGATGCTTATCTTACCAACCATGAAGATGATTGGTCGCCACACCTTAATTGAACGTCAACGTTGCCAATGTAGCCCAAACCGTCACACCGAGATCCGACGACGTCAACTTCAAGATCCACATGGGACTCCAGTGATGGGCTTCGGTATTAGTACTATCGTCGTATGTATTCTCAAGTTCAACTGAAAATCTATAAAGTCATTAGCTGAATGAATGAAGTTCCTGACATGCTTGTATCCGTTTATTTTGGGGGTAAAGATAAGATTTAAGTAATTAAAATGAATCTCATACCTCTTACTCATAGCTAAGTGTTCATTGTTATGCCTAATGAGCCAATACTGAACAAAACTTTCTTAGGGTAGTTTTCGCCGGATAGTTATATTTTCTGTGGCTGTATTTTGTCTTGGGCGTAACGCCAATGAAAGCTGCTCAAGTTCAAGAGAGCAAGGGCTCAGCTTTGCCACCGAAAAAAAAAAGACCATGGAGGCAAATAAGTAAGCCAAGTAGGCCGGTCAACAGAACATGAGGACAATACCTCAACTTTAATCCAACGGAACAGAATAAAAAGGGCTTTTGCTTTGCCTGCCTCATTTGTGGCATTCAATCATTACCCCTGGACTGCCTTATTCAAGACTCTCGGTACATCACATCAAGGGGAAAGCACGGCTGCGATGCGCGAGATGCCGGGGTTGCGGGCTTGCTTTTTTGCGATCTATCCTCGCCTATCTGTCTAATCTTGCCACATTCCGGCTCTAATTGGCACGATTCACGAGTAATAAGGCTTAGATCTTATGATCATGCAGGATGCCCAGGGATTATGCCCGTCACTCTCTAAAAGAACCCCTATGGAGCCAGATTACGCATGTGCGTCTTGGGTCGGTTGTTATGTGGTCGTTGAGTGGTGGGCGCGAAGCAAGTGAATGGTCTCACAGCGAATTTGGAGACGTGTTCATCCTGGTTTCCAAAAAATGACCAAAATCTAAGTCTACGAGAAAGAAACCTGCTTTGATACTGCAGGTCCTTTGAGGTTCTGTAACATTTTAGCAGAGTCCTGACCTAGCCATGGCAATGTTTCAGACTTGACTGGAAAGGAAGGAAGGAAAGGAGGGAGGGGGTAAGTTAGGTCCTGGGTCCTTAAGTCCACTTGGAAGAGTGAATCATTGACACATATCCTACCTGCATCGTTGATCTCTATCCCCAGTCAGACAAAGATCCTACAGTCTAATAAAATCCCGAGATCTAGAACAAGCGGCCGCCGATATGTGACGATTCACTACTGCAAGGCCCGCCAACCCACCCAGTTTAGGGAATGAGCGCATTTATCAACTCACTACTGTTCTGGAAATAAATCTAGCAGAGCCAAAATACCGCGCCGCCGCAGGTGTCTGAGTGTGCTGATGCCTATCTCACAGGGCACGGGAACAGGAATTCCCATATACAATCTCACATTGCCCATTCACCTAAACCCACTTTAGTCAAGAGAAGCGACCTTCAACGGCTTTCGGTAGGGGGGAGGGCCGTTGTTGTGGTTGGGGGACTCTACCCAAGAAAAAAAAAGGAAATACCTACACATAAAAAAAAGGTCTCAGATCGCCATGTACATATACTTCCATCTCAGATCGAGGCAATTCAAGATCGATTCACATGTTTCACACATATACCGCAACGTAGGTGTCTAAGATGCGAACTGAGCACTGATGCACTGATGCACCCCACATGCGAGTTGCTTCCGGGATTAGTACGTGGCCGTTGAGCGATCAAGGGTTTTTCTCGATTTTGGATTCCTGTTTTTCCAGGTCTCAGATTTTCGAGATCCATGTAGGGTTAGGGTTGATATTTTAAGCTCAGGGCCCTGACATTTTAATTTGGGGGGAGTAGATCCAATGACGTCAATGAAACCTGGTTGTAGGTAAGGCTGCTGCTACTGCTGTGCTGTTTGGATGAAGTCGGGACGAAGATGAGACATAAAGCATGTAGTTTTGGCGGTAGAGCTAAGAGCTCCGTACTATGTGAAGCTGTAGTAAGACAGGATGGATGGCGTAGAAGGAATATGCTGAAGCTGTAGTAAGACAGCAGGAAAAGAATCACACAAAAGAATTGGATGCTCGTTATTCTTCTCACTAGCCTCTAATTGGCTACACGTTGTTTTCCTTTTGCCTCCCGCAGATAACAAGTTGGGCTAGCTTCCGCTTTCATTTGTGGTACGGAATAACCCATCAGCCACAGCCTCTGGCCAGATAACTAATACTTGCGTGTGAGCGTGTGCCCTCCACCGGAATGTCTACAACATATGCACACTCTATCTACATCATGTATCCAATCTCAGGAACAACCGCCCTTAAACTCGGTGTTTAACCGTCTGTTCATCCATCTTCCATTGACTTCTTCCTCCTCTCACTCAACCCTTCCCCCCCAAGGGCATCCTTGCATAATGCTGCAAGATTATCCTGCGCTAGGGAATGGGTTCTACTTGTGGGCGGTCCAGATATCAAACGGTCTGAATATCACTCGCCTCGCTCCATGAAGCAAGTCCTCCATGAGTAACCTATCATCCATGATCGCACAGGCAAGTGCTCTACGGTAAATTCTCTAGTGTAAAACTGCACAGTGACTGACTGACCGCTCTTCTTCTTCTTCGCTACACATTCCCAGCACTAAACTACACGAATAATCCCGCACCGAGTTTGAGGAGGACACCCCCCCCCCTTCCCCCGTAAGCAAGATTACCGAGCCGATGCAGCTTGTGCATACAAAGCGGGCACGAATTATGCCGTCTCGTTTTCTTCATATGAGCACCCCCATTGTTGAGTACCCCATTATTAACCAACCAACCATGATAAACCTTGCCTGTCCACCGGATACCAAACACATGGATCCCCCAATGAACAGGCAGGCCCTCGCCGGTGCTGATTAGCTGGCCCAGTCATTCCACAGCGCTCCATGACGAGCCACGCACCCTTCCTAGGACAGCCAGCCGCCCACGATGAAGGATCGAGCCAAACTTGAAAAAGCGCCGTCGGAAGGTTGTAATCCTGGGAAGGAAAATCGGGAATTCCAACGTGGGCCACTCTATCTTCCTCGCTCTCCCCCCATGCATTACAAAGTTAGATACACCACTCAGAAGCTTCTTTAGGAGAAAAGCCACCTCTCACATGTTAGTAGATAGATTGATGGTCGTTTGTTTCCTTTAGTTAGATGCTCATCTGGTTCCTTCTCTCTCTCTGAAGTTGTTTAAACGGTGCTTTTCCCCAAACCGATCAAATCTTCCTTCTCCCCCGCGCGCCGAGAGAACCGAACCGATCGTGCAAATCTTTCCTGGTGCACTCAATCAATCAAAACCCACCCTTTCCTTCATATCACATCTCACACACTGTTCTTCAAACTGTACTACCACGCCTTCTTTTTCCCATGAATTATTTCATTTATTTTTTGGTATTAATTAATCCCCTACATCAACTACTATATACCTACTGACCGGGGAAATTGATCTCCCTGACTCCAGATACACATCCTCCTCGCGAATCGCATATCGTGCGTTGTCCCGCGGAACAATCAATAAATAGTAAGAAAACAGTTACCTACAGGGAGGCTAGCCTAATCTTATTACACCCCTACTAAGTTAACTATTTGCAATTATTACTACAACAACCACAACTACGAACTACCACCACCACCTATCACCACCACAACACTCTGCTACTACCGCCCAGCCGGCTGTGTGCGCTTTCAGAATAGTCATTCGAACAATCAGGCCGGCAGTAGAGTACAAGAAAAAAAAATAAAAACCACAGGGCGCATAAAACAGAAAAACGTTCCGAACAACTAACTCCCATGTACAGTTGTCATTAACCCAAATCTCCCCTCCTATTTCTCCGGCAGATCCCATCAATGATCCATACTAAACCCACCTCCTTCCCAGCCCTAACCCACATCAGCAACATCAGTGAGATTCACATCCACCCTGTTTTTTTCATTTCCCTCGCTCCTTCCCGTACCCGCCGCTACTGGCTGGGGGGTGGAACGAATATAGTAACCTACCCGTAGTGGGGGAGCGTCCGTCGCCTAGACCACTCTCAGGGCTGCCACGCGAGCGAGAGGAACGCGGCCTGTTTTGGCTTGGCGGGGGGAAGGAAAAATGGGAACAAAAGCTTAGCGGAGGCTAAGCTGGAGTTGTACTAGAAAGAAGTTCCCCCACCCTCCATCTTCCCCCATTTTACTTTTTTTCTTTCTTTTTTGGGGTGGCTTGTTTGAGAGGTCTCACATCGTAAGAAAAATGAGAGGAACTACTATGTACTACTAATCATTTTAATTATCATCTCTCCCCAATTCCATTGCGGATGGCGGATAGCGGATAGCGGCGAGAATGAGTGAGTGTGAGAGACTGGCTGCACTGGTAAGTACGGGCAATTGTGACGGCAGTATGGTTGTGGATGTAGGTAGGCCGAGGTGGTAGGTGGGAAATTAATGAGATATCCCCTGACTTACCTAAGCTGGCCGGCCAAGAGAAAAAAGGGACATAATAGTAATAAACCTTGGGAGAGATGGATTGATGAGGCAAAAAAAAAAAAGGCCACTAGGTGTACGGACCGGATTCTTCCATGAAGCTTACTTTTTTTTTTTGATTTCTTCAATACCCTAGTTTCCTATTTCCTAACCCAGAATAAAATGCGATATACATTTCGATGTCTCGATGCCAAAAAAAGTTAAAAGAAGCTTTAGTTACCTGTAGAAAAAAATAAATAAGAAGTTTTGACAAAGGAAATAAAAATAAGGCCCCCCAAAAAGAAGTTGCACGCACAAATACCCAATCCCAGTTTTCTGTGGATTAGATCAATTGCAGTGGGAGAAGAAAGAAGATGAAAGTAGATTTCCCGTTCGCCGACCAGTGGAATTTGATATGAAGGTGGTAAAAGACATCCGTACAAAAGAAAAAAAAGAAGAAAAAGGTGAGATCCGTTTAAGTAGAGCGTTGATAGAACAAATCGCAGATGTGAAGAAAGAAGAAACAATTGACAATAAAAACAGGCTCAGAAGGTCAAACGGAAAAGAAAATATAACACCGCTACAAGAAAAATCATGATCATGAAGAACGCCCCAAGACCCCCGTGAATGGAAAACAAAAAACTAACCTGGCCTAGCCAGGGGTTTATTGGGTAGCATGGCACCACACACCGTCATCAAATGCAAAAAAGGGAAAAAGATAAACCATCGGCAATAAGAAAAAGTAAACCTAAGGAAAAATGTGGCTGGTTTTTCTCACTCTGTCCTCGCTATGGTAGGGGCGAATTTGGTGCGTTCCTTCCCGCGATTTGTCCGCTTCCGTTCGTGTTCATGTTGGATTTGCTCAACTTCCTGGTGAGCTTAGCGTAATCTGTTTCAATTTCGATCTAAATCAGTATAGCTATTCTCCTATCCATCCCCCCCTCGAAAAAAAAAATCCAGATTGCATGTGACATACGTAGTCCGCAGGCGTTACAGAGCGTTCTCGCACCATCAGGTCCTCTTCTCCACTCAGGTGTCTCGGCCCGGTGGCAGCTATGACAGCGCCCAGGTGGTGCAGCCCGCTGTTTCAAGTCAGCGGGGATGAAAACTACGAAAACTACTTTGGGCACACAAGAGCACTCACGCCTCTCCGGATTTTCTTGGCATCGGGTTGTGCCGATCCATTTGACCTGGTATCATCCGCATACCCATGATTGTCGTCGCCCCCATATTCCGACGAGTGGTTGGTGCTCACCCTCTGTGCATTCTGCTCCGCATATTCCTTTGCACATAATTCCTGAAATACCTGTTGGCAGCTTCTCAGAGCCTCTGTATTCCGAGTCGAACAGTCAATCGCCTCCGACAATTCCCTCAAACAATGGTCCAAAAGGTTCGGTTGTAAGTTTTTGGCGACATCTTGGCAACTCTGTACAATGTAGTAGATTCTCGACGAATTATCTTTGGTCTGTGAAAAAAGTAAAAAAGTTAGAATTTCAAGTTGCTTCCAATATAATTCTTAAATCCTTACCAAATCAAAGTCCCTTCGCAATGTCGAGATAGAAAGCGCCCTCTCTATTGTAGATCCATAATTTCTCTTCATCCCTCCCCCTGAACCAGGCGACGTTTGTGGTGGATCATGCGGTGGATATCCATCTCGCGGAGGATATGAGTACGACGAAGCTGAATGCGGAGGTTGGGGGTGTGGCTGATACGTTGATTGTGGCGGCGGAGCACTTGAATGCTGCGGGAACGGATACTGTTGTGATGTACTACTACCGTTACTATACGACGGTGTCGGTGGGTATTGCGGCGATGTGATATGGTGCGGTGGGGGCGGAGGGTAATGGTGTGATGGTTGATACGAGGAATGGCCATTGGGTGGTGGTGCTGGGTACGGGTCGCTGGGTCGAATCGCAGGAATGACAGGTTGCGGAGGTGCAGCTGCATAAGGGTTAGGCGGTAACGTCCTTGAATGCTCTTGGCTGTTTCGTCGGTTATATGATTCGTGGCTGTGCATCGGGCCAGGACCTGCTGAGCTCTGCGGCGCCGGTGGGGGTGGAGGCAACGGCGTTGGATGTGAGTATAACGAGCTCGAAGTCGAGCCTGACAGTGGCAGCGTCTGCACACTCGGCAGCGTCTCCGGTTGACTTCTCGGCATCGAATCCGGGTGCGGTGCTGAAGGCCCCGAGAATGAACCTTGGCCTAGAGGTGGTGTCTGCATTGGTGATGGGGCTGGAAATCGGTCATCCTTATTGTACAGAGCCTCCGACAACGACGGTAACGACTGTCGTCCCTCCGCCAGCGGTGGCAGAGTCTGCCTGCAATCCTCATTCCTCGATGTTTTTCGCGAGTCGGGCGGTGTGTTGTAGCCACTGGTAGCATGCGATGATGCTGGGGGTGGTGGAAACGACAGTGGTGGCGTTGGGCCAAATGTGGTTGTTGGACTGATGGGCGAGGCTGTCGATATGCTTGTGCGATTTATGGACGGATGTCGCTGGTGGTATTGGGCACCCTCCCTCGATACCCTCTCGAATTCCATGTAAGTGGACATCGATGGCAGAGTATCACTAAAAGGTTAAGATTAGGCTCAGGTCTGTTTGATATTTAAAGGTATCCTTGCGTCTTGTGTAGTTGAAACCCTTGAAAAAGCGTATTCATTACGTCGTCTCTACCTATTGAGGAGTAAAGAGGTAAAGCATACAGAGGTATGAATGTAGCGGAGAATAAGGTAGAATTTGAGAGCGGGTAAGGAGGCGGAGTGAGGTAGGTATTGAAGGAAGGTTATTGGGTAAGTGTGTGGCTATTCTTTACATACCTCTGCCTTCTATTTTCCGATGACTCCATGCCTGTGGCGGGAGACAAAGGAGGTGATAACAGGATCGCGGAGGGAAGAATGTTGAAGGCTTATCTCGAGATGAAGGTAACTTTCTTGAATAAGGCGGGAGGCGAGCCGCCGGTAGCTGAGACTAGTGTGTTACTGGAGCTAAAGGGCTGGATCGTGGGTAGTGGATGGTCGTGGTCGTGGTCGACGACAACGACAACGAACGAACGACAGCGACGAAAGGCTAATCACAACGACTCAGCCTTAGGATTTACCGCGAACACAACTGCAGGCAGGCGAATTGATGCAATCTGCGATAAAAAGATTGGAGGTTTAGTATTTCTATGGTTCCTTGAGGATAATGAAACTTCAGCCGTCGCAAAGTCTCCCAGGGCTAGTTACCAACGCAGCAATAAACCAGCAAGAGTTGACGAAGGAAGTAGTAGTAGTAGGTAGTTGTAGTAAGTATGTAGGTAAAGGTAGGTACCGGGTTCCGGTAAGTGAGTGAATCGAACTACTAGACTAATAATAATATAACAACAACAACAACACAACCCTGATGTGTTCTATTATCTTGGTTCCTGGCTGATTGTAAAGAAGGCCAGGCGTGACGTTGGGATAGGTGGGTGTTATGTAGTTGATCGAATGTGGGAGCAACAAACGAATGTCTGCGACGACAGATGGGCGGACCTGGGGATAAGTAGGTATTATGTTATGCGAACAGGTGGCGGAAGCTCGCTCTTCTGTTGCTTCTATCTATGTCTGTCCTGGTAAGGGGGGGACTTTTGTGAGCATATGAAGCTTTTTGCGCGGGGGGGTGTGGCAGTGGCAGTGGTAAGTGGGAGAGGTGGGAAGGGTTGGGTTAAGTTGGGGTGTGGTGTGTATGTGGTGGTGGTGGGTTGAGCCTAGCGAGACTAGAGATCGATCCAACGATCTAACAGCGGCACCGGGGAGGCTTCTGTCTGGATGTGATATAAAGATGGGTGGTTGTGAGGTGAGGAATATTATGTAGACTTACTTTTACACTCACTCAGGAAATCAACGAGCAGGAGCGCGGCAGTATGTAGGAAGAGGCAAGCGAGGGGATGGTCGGACCAACAGGCAAAGGGAGACACCCGGGACGGCAGAAGAAGTAATTGACGGATTTGGGGTGTTAGTGTTCTTGATCTGGGCGAGTGTGGAGGGTGTGGAGAGAAAAGAGTAGATAGAGGGAAAGTGTGAGCGTAAGAAGTAGTAATGTATGTATGTGAGACTGAAATGACCAGAAGGGAAAGTACGGTAGGTACGGTACGGTGAGTGAGTATTTGTGTGTGTGGAGGAGGATGTGGGTGATTGTGAGTGAGTGGGTGTGTCTGTCGTTCTGTCTTCTGTCCGTCTGTCTGTCTGTCTGTAGTGTATGTACGCACGAAATATGTGTGTATGTACGAATATGTACGTATGGGTATGGATGGAACGGGGGTGGGAGTGGAGTGTGGGATGTATGTATGAAGCAGCAGCAGAAGCAGCAGAAGCAGCAGAAGCAGCAGCAGCGCAGAGACAGAGAAGTGAGTGAGAGAAGATGTGATGATGATGGCTGGTCAGAACAGAACAGCGAACAATGGGAGGACGCGGACGGGGCGGGCTGGGATTATTAGATCGAGATGATGATGACAGCGACTTTCTTTTCTTGGGGTCCAGGTTCTGCTTTAAGGTGGATGGATGGATGTGGATGGGTGGATAAGTAAAGTATTGAAATGATGGTCACTGGGCGTATGTAGATATACGGTACACAGCTTCTTCTTTCTGTCTTTCCCTTCCCTTCCTTTCTTCAGATGAGGCCAAAGGAGGAAAAGAGAAGAAAAAGAAAGCACACAGGAAAAAGAGAGGAGGGTCCCGCCTGAGAAACTACTACGAAGCCAGGCAATAAATAGAAACCTCCCGGGAGTAGAGCTGCTTTCAAAAAAAAAACAAGCAACAAGCAGATCTGCGCAAAACGGGGAAGCAAGTGGAAGTGCTAGATGGAGATATAGCTACGACTAGCTAATGCAGGGTGTTTCGCGAGGAACCGAGATATGAAGTGAAGGGGAAATCGAGAATTAATCTCAAAGGGTAATGTATCTAGTAGCTAGTGACAAAAATATGTTGCGCGCGCAGAGATGGAAAAAGTGGAGAGATAGGAGTAGTAGTAGTAATAGCAGCAGTAGGAGCAGAAGATCTTTTCCTTCCTTCTCCCCTACTAACTCACTCACCCTCTTCGAATTCGTTCCCTCTCCCCAATTGCTACTACCACCTCACAAAACACAAAGACCTCAAACTTGACTCAAGATCCGTAGCCACACAGCCGCCACACGGTGCAGGGTCAAATGGCCAAGTCAGAATGACGAACAGATAGTAACCCAATAACCCAATTCCAGATACATATTAGCAGCTAGTAATGTAGCAGCAGAAGCAGCAGCAGCTGGGTATGTGCTTCCTTTTGACATCTGAGCATAAACGGCCAAAGGTTTAAAACAGAACATGACATCCATCCAACCAACCCGATGGAGCTGACATGATGACGGATCCAGTTACAGTGTCGACCTTCCCTTCCCCTTCTCTTCCTTCCCTTCTACATACATAGGTACATACATCTACTGGCAGGAACCTCCTCCGCCCTACATCACAATATCACAATATTAACTAAATGTATGTACCTAGGCTACGGTACCTACCTCACCCCTCCCCCCCAAAAAAAAACGTAGAGTAACCCAGGCGCCAAAACAAAAACGCAGCAGAAACCGTTCAAGGCAACAGGGTATACCAGGGCCGGGGATCAAACGGGCCTACATCGACGATTTGACTCTCCCCTCCCCCCCACCCCCTTCCCACCCCTACCAACTACTCTAATTCCTGTTTAAACAGTTGCGCCGATCTCTCTCCCACGCGCAGGCAAAGAGAGAGAAAAAATTCCTGTAGTTTATAATAAACCCGCCGCCGGCGGAGATCATGAGGTAGGTTATGTAGTTAGCTAGGCCGGTAAGGGAGTGGAGGGGGGGGGTGGATGTCTATTATTATTATTACTATTATTTCCGTTGCTGTTTTATATCTACGCCCACCGGGCTTCCTCCTACCTACCTACCCTTCCTCCTCCTCAGGGCGGCTAGAATGGGAATATCAATTGGATCGCAATTGGTGGAACTGATTCTCCTCCTCACACAAAAAGGAAAGAAGAAAAGGAAGAAGAAAAACACACCCCCAGCCAGTACCACAAAAAAGAAAAGAAAGGCAAGAGAGCAAGAAGACAGAGAAAAATAAAATAAAAATAAACCCGCCATACATGTCCACTTCTTGAGCGCCGCAATGAACAATTCACACTTTCATGACCCTTCCACTTCCACCCCCCATCCCTCGTCTCCTTACCGGCTTCAGCGGTTCCCATAAATATAGTCTACATCTCTAGTCCCCTTCGGCGGCGGCCACAAAAGTGCGGAGAGAGAAATCATCGTTGATTGAAGACCCTTGGGGGGGGGAAGGACAGCAGCAGATGGATAGATGGATGGGGGTTAGCTGCCAGCCCAGCAGCCCAGCCCAGCCTAGCACTCCCACCTCGCAAAAAAGGCGTTACATTACGCTAAACACGCTAGTGCCCCTACCTACATGTAACCTCCACCATCCACTCCACGCGCAACCGTGATCGATTTCATCGACAAGCGGTTTCGACCCGCCGGGAATGGACCAAAAGCAGATGCGTTGACGCATCTGCAGCTCACCAACCCATCCATTCATCTATCCACACCACCACACCCAGGTCCAGGTCCATCCATTCAGCTGGGTTCTACAAATATACCCTGTGTGTGGATGTGTGTGATCTTCTGTGACCCTTGGCCCGTGAGGGAAATTGCTTTTTTACCCTTCTTTCCTTTTTCTGGTCAAAAGGGAAAGGAAAAAAAAAAAAAAAAACTGGTGATGGACCTTTCCCAAGATCTCGTGTCTCTTCGCTTGATCAAAAAAGCTCGCAAATCGCCTTTTCGGATTCACCCGGCGCCCCCCTCCCTCCCTCCCTCCGCTTGCTTGCTTGGCTCTATAGTAAGTATTATTGGCCAATTGGAGATTGCCTAGCGGCATTGCGAGCGAGGAGATGATATCTCATGATGCTGGAGCGGTGGGGAAAAAAAGAAAAGAAGAATCAATTATGACCCGGTAAACCTATGTCTCCTACCTCACTACTTCCTCTCTACTCTACTCTACCGGGTGCTGCAACTAACTAATACTACATGCTCTAGTACATGGGTTCGTTCGATAATGATTCATGAGTAAGAAGGGAGTGAGTTGGTAGGTACAGTATAGTGACGTTAGAACGAAAAGAAAACCGAAATGAAAGGGGCGTCCTCAAATACGAGAATTGACAGTTCCTGCTGCTGCTGCTGCTGCTCCTGTACGTCTAGTCGACCCAGCTATCTGGCATCCTCCGCGCACAACACAGACCAGCTGGGTCGTAAGGCATAAACTCACTTTCCACCAGCTAGCTAGGCAGAGGCGGCTGTGGGGAAGGGACCGCGGGAGAGGGAGGAGAGAGCAAGCAAAGCAAAGGAAAAAATAAAACGTTTTTTTTTCCATTTATCCAAGGACTGCCTTGTCTGGCTATCTATCTCATCCGTCAAAATCCAGCCCAGATCATGATACAGAAGGTACGGGGAGCGCCGTCCAGAGTATTGGCATACGATCCCATCCGGCCCAACAAAAGCGCAAAAAAAAAGAGAGGAAGGGCCACCCCCCCGAAAAAAATAACCCAGATCTGGAGTTTCTCCCCCATCTAATCGAAGCTTCTATCACATCAGCCAGCCACGCGAAAACCCAGGAAATTGGTCAGTCAGGACCTAGAGTAGACTTAAAATGCGAAAAAGCAAAAAATAAAAAGGTAAAAAAAAATGAGAGACCATGGTGAGAAACAGAAACTGCCACATCAATTTGCTTGAAAAGGGAAACAGAAGCAAAGAAAGAGAAAACCCCTAGTAATTTCACCTGGGACTGGACTGGCTGGCATGGATAGGCATGGCGTGTCCGTCAATCTCCATCTCAATCTCAATCTTCCTCACCTCACCTCACTCACCCCCTTATGCGGGCGATTTTCGTGCACATATATGCTTTCTTTTTTTGAGGGGGGAGAGTTGCGTCTATTAGATAATGGACACCAGAAAAAGTGGTACCTACTGATGAGTCGTTGGGCTAGCTAGGTTCTTCTAGATCAGTAGAGATGAGAGATTCAATTCCACTCCCAGAGATCCTTCTCTTCTAGCTGTGATCTCCGCGCACGCGCTCCAACCTCCTTTCGACTATCGCAAAAAGAAAAGGAAATTCTCTTCATCCGTTTTTACACTTTTGCTTCTGTTGTTGGCGACGATCTCCCATCGACGAACGCCATACGCCTCTCTCCCCTCCCCAATCCGAAGCCAATCATGGGGGGCGGCGCGTGCGTGCAGGGGGAGGGAGGAGTTTTTCCTCTCACTCTTGTCTTGCCGAGATCTCTTTTACCAGACGTTACACAGGTATCTAACTAGCATAGTTCGTGTAGGGTGAAGCTGGTAGGGGAATATCGCTCAAAGAGCTTCTTCCCAGATCTACTTGTCACTAAAACTAAAAAGAAGTTTCATCATGACGGATTCCCGCCTGTCAAGCAACAGCTCACACTTCACAAAGGTGCGGTTGCGGTTACGGTTGCGGAACATCCCATCGCGCGAGCACTCCACACCCCGGGTCAAGTTGCCCACCACACACACCACACCCATCCCGATCACCCTCCAGATCCGAGATTTCAGATAACCGGCAGACAAGGCTTCCGGGGTAGGATGTGCCGGGGTCGACACTTAACCTAGGAGGGAGATGATAGACATGCTCGACAGTCGACAGAGGACTAAATAGACTGAAAGTCTGAGATGACTGACTTAGTCTGACAACTGTTGTTGTTGCTGGTAGTTCAGTCAGTAGGTGTAGGTGTAGGGTGTAGGTGGTGGAGGTAAGGTAGTGATGGTGGTGGGGGTAGGGGGTTAATTGTTTATATTTATATGGGCATGAATGTATGTAGGTAGGCACTCGTGAGATATCAGAGATTCTGATCACGCCCGTCATCATCTAGTGAGTAAGTAATCAACGTGAACATCTCCAAACCCCTCTCTACTTTCCTCTCTCTCTCCTCTTCCTCTCATCATCATCGCCGTCATGTCCTTGCCATGACTCTACATACATAACCCTTTCCTTTACCTGGTAACTCCTCTCTCGACCCCAGGTACATCCCTCTCCCATGCCATGCCATGCCCGATCGTCCCCTCACTTCCGCCACTCGCAACAACCCCAATCTCGGCAAAGCAGGTCACAGCAGCCACCCTAGATCCCAAATCTCTCTTTTCTCCTCCTCCCCCCAGTCATGTCTTGATCGAATCGGAAAACCCGCAGTCTATTCGCAAGCACGGAGGGCAGTGGGAAGGCAGGAGGAGCCGGATCTCAGATCAGACCACTCTTTTTTTCTCTTCTTCCTTTCCCAAGGGGGGGAGGGTAGGGAGGCCTAAGCGACAAATGGACACAAGACAAGCAGGACAAGCAAGACAAGACAGCAGACAGCCCTCTCTTGCTCCTTCTCCCTGGGATACGAGACGAGCGAGAAGGAGAGGGCGAGAGACCCGATACACCCGACACAGTGGATAGGTGGGAGGGGCGCTAAGCTGTTCTGGGGCGTGGTGGTCGCTGGTGGCTAACTGATGGGCGATGATGAAGGGATGCTTATCTCCGCGCGCGCGGGTGCGGTTGTGCGTTTGCTGACTGATGTAGGTAGGTAGAGGTATATTTAGTCATTTAGTTCCGTAGATAGGGTATGTGTGATATGTAGGCTCAGGGGCTAATTGTTTCGTTTTGTCTCCGCTTTTTTTTTTCTTTTTGCTCGTAATAGAGGCGGATCAGAGAGAGATAGATGGGACGGAAGGGATGTGAGAAACGGGATGGATGGATGTTAGGGATGGGATGGAAGGGGAAATGAGCGGATGTGATGTGATGTGATGGACGTTTCCTCCAACGACAGCTTTTTAATCACCATCATACAACAGCATACAGATACAGCATAACAGCATACAGAAGAAGAAGCTCCAATTCCAATTCCAATTCCCCGCGGGAAAGGGGAAGATGTAAGATGGACGTAGGTAGCCTTTCGAATCAAATCCACTCTAGATCTGTCACCGTCTCCCCTTCCTGTCCTGTCCTGTCACTCCCGTAAGCATAACCGGGGATCGATCGTCCACAGCTACATGGAGTACTACCAAGTACCTACCAGATCAGTAGAGTAGATGGGACGAAAGGGGGAGGGGAGGGTCTGGTAATGATCAGATCTATCTCCCTCACACCCCCCTCGCCAAACCCCCCCAAACCCCCAAAACCTCCCGTGGGGAAAGACAAGACAGTTGAATATCAATGACGCACCGGCCGTTACTCTACATACACACCTAGGTACATGTAACGGCCATCTGTGTCTGTATCTGTACCTGTACCTACCTGTATCTAGCCACTTTATTTCGCTTGCTTGCTTGTCTGGACCCTCCCCTCCCCCCGGACCCGATTACTATTCACCCCGTCCGATTCGAATCTGGGCCAGCGCCCTGGGATGGGGAATTTATATATGTTTTTTTTCTGGATGAACTGTTCGCTCCCCCCGCCCCGGTAGATTCTGTCTCTAGATATAGTGTCCCTATCGGTCGGCGCGCGCGAGCGAGCACGCACACAATCTCGATCCCATCGTTCCTTTCGTGCTTCTACACAGCCCTCTCTGTCACAAATGGGTGTTGGGTTGGTTGGTGCTGGGTTGGTTGGTGGTGGTGGGTTAATTACTGTAGATACAACACCACATGTAGCCCAGTCTACAAACATGTACCCTACAGGACCCTACGCTACTGTAGGTACTCTACACACAAAGCTAGCCAGCTAGTTCAACGGGTGAACATGAGGCGTTGAGTTATATATCTCCCCCTCCCACTACCCCCTCTCTATCCCTCCCATTTCACCCTCTTCCCCCTCAATATCCCTCCCACTCTGCTCCCTCTCCTCTCCACACCCCATACATACCCATCCACCACCACGGCACACACCCCCACCCCGCCTCGCGATGATCTGCCCCGCAGCAGTGATTGGCCCCATTCTTCCGATGCGATGCGGAGTGCGATCGATTCCGATGTCGTCGACACGATGTGTGGTGGTGGTGCCCCCATCCCTATTTTTGGCCTGGTCATATCTCACAATGGAGGTTGAAGAGGGTGGAGGAGAGAGCTTGAGATAGGCGGGGTTGCCGCCGGTGTGTATGGTGTGTGTGGCTGGGGATGGGGTGTGTGGGTGTAGTGTGAGTGTGGGTGGTGGTAATGATAGGGTGAGTTGGAAAATGGACATGGTATGTAGAGAGAGGTTATTAGCCCAATAGTAGAACAGCAAGAGGGTCCAGAGTGAAAATAGGTACTTTGAAACACACGGTTTAGTAGTAGTAGTAATAGTAGTCATAGGTAGTAAAAAGTAGAAGTAGAAGAATGAAGAAATGAAACACCGCGAAAAAACCCAAACGCCAACTGATACTGAGACCCGCCTCCCTGACAGTTATTTTGCTGCCACTACTACAACAAGCCATACAACTCTTACTGTAAAACCACACCGCCCGATATTCCATAACCAAACAGAGGCCAGCCAGCACATTAACGAAATGAAAGAGAAAGGGAAGTCTCTCAGTTCTGTACAACCCATCCGATTCTACCCGGACGTCCATGCTACTTTCAAAAAAAAAAAGACTTAGGACAAGAATAAAAGAAGAAAAAACGAACGTTAAAAAGAAAACCCATATATAAGAATGCTATGCAATCATCGTTCCAGTCTCGCTAGTGACCTAAGAACCTCCATCAACGGCAGCTTCCCCGTCCCCGCCTCACCCCTAACCTTGGCCTCCCTCACCGCCAGCGCCGCCTCCGCATCCTCCAGGATCCGGCCCGCCAGCCTATCCGCCGCTTTGCCATAGTGGTTCAACTTATGGATCCCATCAGCTAGCTGGTCGACCTGGAACTCAATCTCCCCGCTGTGCTGCTTGACGAGGCCCCTTGCCTCCGCCAGTAGGTCCTGGGAGCGGGATGAGGATGCGAATGCCGACTCGGACGGCTGCAAGAGCTTATTCATATCGGGCCCGCCGGCGAGAGAGAGAGTGGCTTTGATATCGGTCTTGAGCAGCGACTTCCATGTTGCTTTTTCGGCTAAAAGTCTGCAGATGGTTAGCGGCTGTCAATGATCAGAATGACAGGAAAATGTGGTGACCTACTTTTTTAGGCTGGCTTCAATGGCTTCAACCTTGGCAAGGTTGTCAATGTTACGGGGATTCGGTTTTTTGATTACTGTAGAAGGTTGAGAATCTTCCTGCATGGGATTGTCAGCTCCAAACTTAACTACCTGCTGAATCTAGGGCTGCCTGAGTGCATAAGGCTGAAGCTGAAAATGTGGGGGTGGATGTACTTACCCTATTGAACCAGCTTGACAGTCCGGGGTTTGATAGGACGTCTGATAATACTTCTTCTTCGATTATTCGTGCTGTAAAGATAGACAGTAGTCAGCAATTGTATACAAAGCTAGTATTTTTGACATTTCGAGGCCAATGATAATCAGAAGACGCCCGGAATCTTGACTTATGTTGCTAAATCTATAATGCCGGACTTTCTGATATATTTCAGTATTCAAGTCGTTATTATAAATTTGCCATAATTCAAGTCCGTAAGCACCTTTCCGGTGTATTGGAGAGCTTTAGCTGTTCGGTCACGCGACCGAAAGTTGAGAATTTGGACAACAAATCCAACAACTTTTGCGCTGCACGAATCTGCAGATCAGATCCCATGTCACGAATATCTGTCTAGCTCAGACAGCTAAAACCCTCCAATATCACAAATAGGGGGTTATATTCCGGAGGAGGGGGGAATAATCAGAACAGAGTAAGAAGAGTCCCGGTAAAACCACCGAACCTCTATCTCAAGGCCTAGCTTTCGTCTGATATCCCATTACTCCTCCTAATTACCCCCCTGCTCCTCCGGCCCGATCTGATCACAATCATCCCCACAAATTTCCAAAAAAAAAAACCTACCAACAGCCGCCGCATTAGCGTCCCCCACTTTCCCATCTTTCGGCGTGAGTGCTTTTCGTCCACACCATGTCAGCAGTTGCTTCATCCTCTGGGGTTCCAGAAGCTCGTCGTGAATGTGCTTATAGTATTCCTCGTGCGCAATCGACGGATGCGGTTCAGCTAGAATCACCCCGTAATCAGTCACTTCACCATGCCCCCACTAAGATCCATAAAAAACATACCGAGAACCCCCGTGTCCATCAGCGAGCTTGCCCTCCGTCCTCTGAGCCCAACACTACTCCTACGGTTCCCCCCACCCTGCCCGCCTTTCCGCATCTGCTGATTCCGCCTGATAATCGGCGTATCCGATACCGGTAGCGCCATCTTTGTGCTGCTACCACCACCGGGCGGTATTCGCGGCGGCGGCGACATGGGTATGGGTGCTACGGCGACAGGAACTTTAGATTTCGCCGCCTTCTTAGTTTTGGCGGCCGCCTTCTTTGGCGCCTTCTTCTCCTTTACCTCCTCCTCTTCCGCCTCGGCCAAGGAGATCTTCTTCCGAGTCTTGAGCTCCGACTCCTCGATCGGCGGAGGTGAGTCGTGTGCGCGCTTCCGGGAAGTGGTGGTGGGTTTCTTCTTCTTGGGGGGTTCAACAGCGACAGGCTGCGGTGGAGCGTTGGGCAGGACGACCTCATTAGCTGCAAGGCTGGCACGGGTACGTGGTCGGGGGCGGAAGATGAAGCCTTCGTCTTCGAGAATGTCGGGTTTGGTGCGCTTTTGCTTCTGTGTAGGTAGGGGATCATGTCAGTATTTGAATCAACCTTGAATTGGGCAGCTGGTCCATTTGTTCCGGTCCTGCGATCTTAGATATCCATTCCCAGGCCGGTGAAGGGGGAAAAACACCCCCGCGTATCATAATACCCCAAACAGAAGAAGCAAACAGCCCACCAATCGCCCGGAGAACAAAGAAAAACAGAACCAACCTTCTTTGGCGGCTTCTCCTTCACCTCCCCCTTGTCCCCGCCATCCTCCTCCTTCTCCGCCGCCTTCTTTGCCTTTTTAGTCTTTTTTTTTAGCGGCTCCACCGGCGCATTCTCTTTTTCTTTCCCATCCACTCCGCCATTGACCCCATTGCTGTCATCGTCCAGTCCCGCGGTGACGCTTTTCCGTTTCGGCCGTGTGCTGGTCGGCATTACTGTCAGTGTTTGTAGCGGCCGTGTCGTGGTCGCGTGTACGGGCATGAAAGTCAACGTCAAACTCAATTCCGGCGCAGATCCGTAGGGTATAGTGGCACCGTCGAATTGGTGCCTTGCTGGGTGGGACAGTAGGGGGTGAGGTTATCGACACCTGTTGTATCTAAGAAACGTTGGGGGGTATATTGGGGGGGGGGGGGGGGAGGGTGAGGGTGAGCGCGTGTAAGTATTGTCGTTTGTTATGGAGCTAGCTGACTGGTTGATGATGATGATATGATGGTCTGCCAATAGTGTACTCGTCCAACTAGTTGCCTGCCCGTAGTACTAGTAATGGTGGTAATGAATGTCTGTATTAGTGCTAGTGGTGATCTGATATCGTAAGGGGTGTTCGTGATATGCTGGCCGGCGGGCAGGCGGTGGCGGGGGTGTGGGGAGAGGGGAGGGGAGGGAAGGGGAGGGGAGGAGGGGAGGGAGAGGGAGTGATGACGGGTGATGGAGGAAAGGATGGATGGGGCGGGCGGAGAGACAGATGTCGGTCTACAGACGATGGTTGGGGGTTTGTGGTTGGGTTGGCTTGGTTGGGGTGTCGCGTTGTTGCTGCCGCTGCGCTTCTGCTTGTTTTGATCAAACTCAACAACGACGACCCACATGCGTCTTGGCGTGTCAACCGCAACGCAGGCGGAAGGAAGGAAGGAAGGAAGGCTTGTTTACGCTGGTGTGCGTGGATCTTATCACGGCCCTTGCGTTCCACTCAACGTCGAAATTCGCCAATCACACCGCAGACAGGAACAGAACCAGTGTTGCATGAAGCATTGTAGAGTGGTAATAATAGTGGTAATAGCTAACTACACGGTAGCTGTTCGTAAACGAATACCCGTCGCCTTCGTCCCCTCGTCCCCCTTATTCGTCTCGTTACATGATGAAGTACATATCTCTCTCTTACTACCTGCCATCCTTCCCTTCTCCTGCCATCCTTCCCACCTCTTCCTCTTCCTCTCCCTTTTCCCCTTCCCCGGCTGTCTCCCCCGTCTTGCCTTTCTTTGATATCTTAATGCCTGCCTGCCTGCTTGCTTGCTTGCTTGTTGAAAATGCCGCCCTTCACACCTGCATACAAACAACAAAAAATACCAAACTAAACAACAAAAACACACCACTCCCGCTGCTGTAGACCTAGCTTCCATGTTGAATAAAAAAATCTTTGTCACCCATATTTATATGGGCCAACAGTTGTGCCGAACCCGAAATTGAAAAAGAAAAAAAAGTAAACTAAAAATAACAAGCCAAAATAAAGGATAGAGAAGAAAAAAGAGATTACAATTCTGTCCCAAACAGCTCCCCGCCAAACTTGTCACAACAGCGTAGAACGGCCTTTTTAGATCTCTCTCTCCCAAAATGATGTCTTGTTTGACAAAAGATGCCTTCTAAATCGTAAAAATCCATAAACCCATTTTTTGGTATTGGTACCTTAATCATGTAGATCTATTGGTAGTCATGTCAATACATGAGCACGTCTAGGCAGGATTTTGCGATTGCGTACCTGAACAGCTTACGGGGCAAGGCTGCCTTCGATCCTCCTGCGAGCCTCCATCTTCTCTTCCTGGCTCACATTTTCTTTCCTCATGGTTACAGCACCTGTTTCTGGTGTGTGGCCAATGCTCATTCCTACACGGATCAAAGTCTCCAGCGCGGTCCTTGAGTTATCAACAAGGTCCTCATCGAAAACCATCCTTCCAGGTTCAAATAGACAGACGATGGTACTGCCACCAAACTGGAAATAGCCCAGCTCGTCTGTACGCTTGACCTGTGATCCCGCCTTGGCTGTGATGACTGTGCTACCAACCATCATGGCTCCGACACAGATGACCATCACCCTGCCGTGTTCTACAGAATCTATAGGGACACAGATACGGACGTTTTCACCATACACATCAAGTCTATCAAAATCAGCGCTGACTTCATTTCCACGTTAAATCAAAGAGAACTTACGCAGATCGAATAGCCATTGGGTTGACGGTATAATACTCCCCCTTTATCATCTTGGGCTCACCCATGAGCCCATCGACGGGGATGTGAAACCTATGATAATCTTGTGGCGCCAACCTAAAAATACCTAATGCACCCCCAGTGAACCGCTTGGCATCATCCGGATAGGCGTCACCAAGAAGCCTCTTGATTGTGAATTCTCGGCCCTTGATCCATATTGTTGTTGCTTCATCAATACTGTTGAATACCACAGATCTACAATCTGCCGGAGATACAATAACTCTTTGATCCTCTGGTGAGGCGCAAGGGCGTGCACCAGGCTTAAGAGCACGGTAGAAAAATTCGTTGAATCTACGATTTCAATTAACGCAAATTCTTTGAAAGTGGTTTAAAACAGGGTATGCTTACGTCTTGAACTGATCTAATGGCAGAAGAACCTCAGAAAGGTCGAGCTGATGGAAAGCAATAAATCCCTTTATATCCCTGGCGGAAGCAGGGTTATCAAACTTCTTTCCTTGCTTGACACTAAGTGATTTTAACAGTTTTTTGACTATAGATATTAGCTTTCTGATCCAATGTAGTACTTGATCTTAGGATGATATACTCTTCTTATTCTCCATACTGCTGCTGCTGAGACCCTTATAAAGCAATCGAATACCCAAACGAACGTAAACACTCATACGTTCTTCCTGGATCTGCCCTGTAATCCTGTCCTGGACCAAGATATTCGCCGAGTTCGCACCCAACTTGTAGCCTCCGTAGGATATCTTTGAGATAACCTTGGAGTACCATTTGCGTTGAGCCTGACTAGATGTCACAAACCCTCCCATCACAAGCTTATCCACCTGTCTCCAATCTTGTGACGCACATGTCGCCAAGTGCGTCACAATATCTTGTTCCGACCTTTTATTGAGGCGAGGCTGATGGCACAGCGGACACTCTTTGATCTGAATGACATGCTCCTCTGCCTTCTCGTCTGCAAGATCATTTTCACCAAGCATCATACCCTCCTCTCCCGCAGCACCAAGAACATTGATATTTTGTGTTGGCGGCAAAGATACCATGCTTCTACTCCTTGGGTCGGCCGGAGTATTTGAGCTGGTGCTGTCCTCCGACTTCTGAGACCTGTCATCCCTTCCTGAATCATCCCTTCCAGATGTGGAGGGGGTATGGCTCGGTGTCTTCGGTGCGGTTGACGAAAGTTGATTCTCTAGACAGATAACTGCCTGATCAATAGTCAATTCCACATCTTCCAAGTCCGTAACCCCGTTCTCCTCTCTAAATCTCTCGAAAAACCCATCAATGGTGTGGGCTGACAGTGTAGACCCCAGAGTATCAAGCATAGTGGTAAGTTCCACACGGCTGATTTCACCACTGTCATCTGCATCATACTGCCTGAGCATGACTCGCCAGAATTGCTGCCGGAGTGCAGGGTATGGAACATATTTGGCCTTGATCTTGATTTCAGGATTGTGTTTGTCTTCCCATCGATCTTTATTTTTAAGAGGAAGAGCCAATGTGTACGGCTGTAAATCATAATCCATAGAATCATTGTTTACTTGTATCATCCTATTCCCTGGTGGGGTAGGGCCATTTTCATCACCAGGAGTCAAAGTCCCATCAGATGGGAAAGCGCTTGCCACGCTTCTCAGTGAGTTTGCAGATGTTCTCCGCTCAAGATCTGGTCGGCCCTTTTTGCCAGCAGAGAGATTGGTTCCGGAAGACGACCTAGGTAGTGGTATACGGAAACGTGATTTCCCAGTGCCAGACGGAGTCATAGGAGAAGGTGGAACTTCATCTTTCAAAGGCTCTCGAAGATTATATAGCCCAGTTACTGGGTCGGCGGTGGGCTGTGTGGAGATGATATCTTGTAGCGCAAAGTTTGTCTGTGCTACAAAGTCATTTGATGAGAACTTATCGCGGTCTACAACTGCAATATTCAGAGAATATCTCTGCTCATTCCGTAGAACTTGAAACACCATTTTCTCGTCGTATACGGGATTCAAACAGTGTCGGATATGTCTAGTACGGTATGTTTTCTTTCCCAGCGAGACAACAACAAAAGGGTCCATATCGAAACCGGTACGTGTCACTATTCCGCGTTAGCAAGCCAGAATTTGTTAGCATGCACATCATGAAAGTCCAACTTACTGTTCTTCTCTGGTGGTAAGTCTGTAATGGAATTGATCTCTAGAAAAACAACTCCAACAACATCTGACTCCCTGGATAGCTCATAATGACGGCCCTTCTTGTCGCCACCTGCCTTGCCCTTCATCATCGAAGGAGTGATCGAAGGAGCAATCGAGGGTGCCATTGAGACTGAAGTTCCCATCCTGTCGAATCTAGGACGACCCAGGGTTCCATCTGGTTCCATCATATCTTCTTCGTCGTCAGAAATACCAGTATCACCCAGATCCCGCGAAAGAGGGTCATCCTGCTCATAGATACTGGGAGAGGCGCTCGGACTCGGGGTTCCGTTGAAATTGCTGAGCCATGTCGTCCATTTCTGCATGATTTGCTCGGGGGTTGCAGCATCATCAGACGTGTCCAGAAGACAGAGTTGAAGTTGGATCTCCCCGGAAATTGTGGCCTTTTTGCGGCTAGACTTCAATGGGAACCATCGGGGCTGAAAGAAGAGTTGTTGGGTTAGCAGGGGCCCCAACATAAGGATAATAAAGGTGCTGACTGACCTCTTGGCTGGTTCGTCCATTTGAGAAAAATTCATCGAGATGAACTGTGAGGTCGCCCATGTAGTCCTATATTTCCCTCTTCACATGTCAGAAACTAGGAATTGCTCTACTGCATCATCGTTCGCCCCTTTCCCCGATCCGAAAACCATCCCCTAGGTGCATGGGTAAATCCAAACCTTTCCAAACCGGTCCTTGTCCCAACAAACGCATTCCAACGTAGATGAGTTGGCTCCGCTGAGCGGTATTTCAAAGTTGTCGAACCATTCAGGGTCGAGGGTCTTGGGTATCGCTTCCGTCTGGAAGCGATACTCACCCAACGATACGACA